TATATATATATTGCATATCTTTCAATAACCCCCGGAACGTGCAATTTCGTGCAAAATAAAACAAGTCCTAAAACAACGTCCGCTTCATGATCCAAATGTCTGTTGTTTCATCCAATTTCCAAACCAAGTTACCAAAGTAAAGATGCAGTAACACGACAATTAGTTATAAACCATAATGTGAAAGTGTTAAACATTTGCGAGACTTATTTTTTTCCCTTCATAAATGAGGTCCCTCATTCCGACAGATCTTCCATTGAATTATATGTTCTAATATGACAAAAGGGTAAAAATATAGCTGCGGTCGACATATTGGAACAGCACATTGGAACAAGGAGCACTTTAAGTTCTGATTCATGTAAGTCCATATTGGATATTAATATTATATTACACTAAAGAACAATATTTACAGGTTTAATCAATGCTAAAAACTCAATTTCATAAAAATATGGGATAGCCCCTTGTTCTACCGAGCCCTTCATTTCTATAACAGAAGAGTAGGTGCCCTCGGTGGCTCGTTGGTTGGCGAGCTCGCTTTCCCCACGACCCTGGGTTCGATTCCCGGCTGAAGCAAATTATAACTGTGCGCTTTTGTGACTCATCTATTGCTGCGTGACGATGAGAAATCCCACCCTAAGGTCAAGAAAGGCAGTATATTCGGTGGAGGGATGTCTTCGTCCTAACCACATGAACCCCCTAATCCCACGGTCGAGAGGCTGGTCCAGGCCCGTATCAAGCTGTCGAGCCAAAGGACAGAACAGGAGCAATGCATCTTTGCTTAACACGACAAGAACAGCATCGATGGAAACTAAGCCAATTTTCTAACCGGAAACTTACTTTTATTTCCGCAAAACTCCTATCTAACGCGCCAAGAGTCCACCAATTAACACAGCCTTCCTACTTCCTGATGCACGACCCCACACAGCCGCAACCAGAGCAGCATTCGCCGTGGCTTCTGACAATCGTGCAACACGCACGCCGCAACCCCTTCAGGAGAGGAATTTGAACTTCCGGTCTTCGCTCGCGTCGACAGCGCCAGTTTATGTCCAAAGCCGAATAAATGTAAGATCATCTTCCTCTCCGCGCAAACGCCCGCTGCGCGTGGGCGCTCGTCAACGTCGCCGCTGCAGGCCCTCGGGGGCCTTTCATTTCGAGGAAGCGCGTAAAACGCAAGCGTTTATGGGCGCTACAGCCCCTTTAGAGGGGGCCAAAGTAAATAACTTATTTTATTAGGGCGGAATGCAAGTGAATGTGATTAAAGGTGTTAGCTTTAAAGAATGAACGACCTTTTTTAAACAATTAAGATCTGAAAGACGTATTGTTATTTCTTTTTAATCGAAAGACATTACGCACGCGTGTCATGTTAATAATCCCGAACTAAACTAGCTGTTACATGGATATAAATACCGTTTGGTACACCGGCCTCTCCTCCCGACCTAGCAATACGCAAATAGCAGCTAAGCAATAGCGTCCGATTCGTTCTCGAACGGGGCGCGCCACAGGGCTCTCAGAGCGAGTGCGATGCCTCCATTTTATCTGCTGCATAACTGCTTCTATACAATTAGATCAAAAACAAAAATAATGTTTATTTTAACAAAACAGTGATATATAATGAATTAGTTTACAAAAGACGTAATATGCTCCTAATAAATAATGTACTTCTGCTTCTGGATCAATGACCCCGATCTCGATCAGATTTTTGTCCAGTTTCCCTCAACCATTGATCAAATGCTGAGATGGCCCCTTGTTTTGCTCCTGCGCGTAAATGTAGCTTCACTATGCGCCCGCTTTGTTGATCTCTCCTTTTGCTTGTAATGGTAAGAGTAGAGGTAAGGGCGAGTTGCT